CTCCTTCAACCACTGCTATAGTCTCTCTTCTTGTTCATTTTCTTTCTCCTTCAACCACTGCTGTAGTCTCTCTTCTTGTTTATTTTCTTTTTCTTCCAACAACTGCTGTAATCTCTCTTGTTTATTTTGCTGTTCGAGCTGCCACTGTTGCAGGTTTTCTTGCCACTGCTGTTGTCTCTTTTCGTGTTTCTTTTCTCGTTCTTCTTGTTTCTTTTCTTTTTACTCCAACAACTGCTGTAATCTCTCTTCTTGTTTCTTTTCTCGTTCTTCTTGGTTTTTTTGCTGTTCTTGTATTGCTGCCATCAAATCTGCTGAGCTGTAGTTTGATTTGCCACTTCTCGTCTCTAGCTTCTTTTTAAGTTTTATTTTCCGTCCCACTCTCTGACACCAATTTGTTATGTATCTGCTTGTTTGATAATTTCCGGTAAAAATTCTTTCCGAGTGACTTTAGCGATACAAATCCCTTCTTGATTAAATCTAGTTTATTCTTTCTCGTTACAAACTTTGTAATACACTTAATTTCCACAGTCACTTTAAACTTAACAACCTTTATAACACACGCTATAAATCACATTGATTCACACACTTTACTTATGGTGTCAACTGTTCGCTTGACTCAATTATCTCTATCTTCAATCTATCTGCCTATCTCTGCAATTCTATCTTCTTCGCTGGCTTTATTTGCCGGGTTTATATACTAAAACAAAAAAGATGGCGCCTGGAACAAACTAGAGTTGCCAGGAAAATTCATGATCCTTCTAGAGACTCCAGCGCGCATGCTCCCAGCGTCACGTGACTTCAGCTGTAGTAACAATATATTTATTTATTTGTCTTATTTTTATTTTCTGGGTTTAGTTTTTACAAATTTCTTGTTCGGAAAGGTTTTTTTATGTTGATTTGATGACGTTATGATCACCAGGTGGCACGTCAAAATGTCGTGCTCAAGCATAGGACAAGCAAATTAAATTTCATAAATTGTTTAGGCGAACTACGATCATCCGCCTGAGTCCTTATGTTAGGATAATCAACTGAGAAGTACAATGGCAGTACTGTAAAAGTTACACTTTGTAAATACGATGACAAATCTGATCTTAAAAACACTGATTTTTTTAAATTACTAATTAGTTAAGCTGGATTGGTGCAAACTGTGTTTAATTGAATGCGATTTCAAGTCATATCTAGTTGATTATGAAAGTTTTCGTTCTTGTCAAACTTTTTTTTAACTGATGCATGGAATAATAAAAACTTCTGTTACGACAGGGAAGTCACGCGACACTGAGAGCATGTTCGCTGGAGTTTCTCGAAGGATCATGAATTTTCCAGGCAACTCTAGTCTGATCGAAATGCCCTCTTTTTTAATATATAAGCCTGGCGAAAAAACTAGAGTATGTAGGAGATAGATAATTGAGTCAAGCAAACAGTAGGCACCGTTAGTAAAGTGTTGGAATCACTGTGATTTATAGGGTGTAGTTAAGTTTAGAAAACGTATTGACTGTGGAAATTCTGTGTATTACAAAGTTTGTATAGAATAAGTATAAACTGGGTTAGTCAAGAAAGGACTTGTATCGCTGAATTTATACCGGAAATTAACAAAAAGCAGATACGCAACACTTCGAATCTTATAGCGATCACACCATCGTAGGCGTGATTTTCTTATTATAATTATTTTCAATACATGAAATTATGTCAATGTTTATATTCTGTTTGCCGTGTTAGCACTATTGGTTGTTGTTGTTATACAACTAATATTACAGATACTCAAAAATAGTTAAAAACATGTATTTTTCAAAATATTTGTGTTTAACGCTAGACAGAATAAAATATAATCAAATCTTTTGTTTTTATTTAGGTGTGTGTATTTAAGTTTAAAATAATCTCCAGTAATTTTCTAATAGTCATTACACCATTTTTCTGCTAAATTTTTAATGGTATTTCGTTTTCCATTTGTAGGTCTTTATATCGAAGAGATTTTGAAAAATTGGTTCGGCGACTATGATAAGCTCGAATACACTCACAGTTATATTCAGTGGTAAGAAATTACGAAGTCTTGTTTTCCCATTATTTGGGGGGGGGGGGACAAAAAAGATTGCATAATGAAATTATGCTAAGTATACATCTGAATTTCAGATTATATTTAAACTTACAGAGGATGTTCTACTGTTGATTCTAGAAGTTCAAAGAATGCAGGAGAAACCAAACATTTTTTTTTTTTTACTGATGTTCATCCCCCAGTTTCCGGACTTACAATATTAAAAGTCGGGGTTCGAAAGAATGCAGATACCCCAATTATATAGCTTTGCGTTAAAAGACCAAGAAATCCCACTAGGCGAGGTGAGCAAAATCAATAAAAGTTCTTATATTATTTCATACTTTCAATATAATCGACTGTTTCGCGCATGCTTTACATCCTTTTTCGTGTCTTCCTGGCCTTAAATCTGTGTCCAAAAACAAAGACAATGTAAGATCAATTACTTAGATATAAAACATGCATGGCCAGGTGGTTAGGGCGCTAGACTCGCAATCTGCGGGTCGCGAGTTCGATATCCCTGTCACACCGAACATGCTTTCCCTTTCAGCCGTGTGGGATTGACCGTCACATTATAACGCCCCAACTATTCGTTGGTAAAAGAGTAGCCCAAGAGTTGGCGGTGGGTGATGATGACTAGCTGCCTTCCCTCTAGTCTTACACTGCTAAATTAGGGATGGCTAGCGCAGATAGCCCTCGTGTAGCTTTGCGCGAAATTCAAAACAAACAAACTAACATTTAACACTATTAAACAGTTACTTCTAACATTTTAACACTATTAAACAGTTACTTTTAGCATTTTAACACTATTAAACACTTCTAACATTTTAACGCTATTAAACAGTTACTTCTAAGATTTTAACACTATTAAACAGTTACTTCTAGCATTTTAACACTATTAAACACTTACTTCTAACATTTTAACGCTATTAAACAGTTACTTCTAAGATTTTAACACTATTAAACAGTTACTTCTAACATTTTAACACTATTAAACACTTACTTCTAACATTTTAACGCTATTAAACACTTACTTCTAAAAATTTAACACTATTAAACAATTACTTCTAACATTTTTCGTCAGCTATAGTTAAAATATTTTCCTGATTTTGTTAATCTACAATAACAATATATCAATCCATATTGAAAACATTCGAAAGTAGAACCATTTTTACATATTTTAACCTATTATTTTTAAGTTTGTATATACCGTGATAGTTAAACATAAAGAGTAAACATTATTATGAATAACTTTTTTCATGCCATAAGAAGGATACCCGTTATGTTGGATATCTTATTATAGTGTAATTTAAGCTACTTTCAATTAAATATGTACACACTCTTCACACATGCAAAGTGATATATCTGTAGAGAACACAGATACCTCAGTAATTATTAGATTATGTATCTTATGATTGGCTAGCAGTGTAATGTTGCATTTTTCCTTTATGTAATTACAACGCTAAAATCCGGGGTTCGATTCACCGCGGTGGACGGAGCGCAGATAGCCCATTGTGTAGCATTAAGCAAAATAACAACAAAAACATCGTTTATATAAAATATTTGACACGTTAGCCCTTCATAGTGAAACAACTTTGTTTTTATGTAAATCATAGGGCAAAAAATAAGCCAAGTTCATGATTTGAAATTATTATGGAAAGGAAAGCGTGAACAGATGACGAGATAGTCGTCAGAAACTAATATATATATATATATAAGTAACAGTGAGAATAAACTAAAATCAGAACCACAGGACTTTAAAGGATCAAAATTTGAGTAATGTAGCAGTAGAATGGTTTTGATCTTTAACAGTGTTTAAAATGCATGCTTAAGAAACTGTTTAGTACTGTGAGAATGATCCAGAAGTTCGCGTAGACCAACTGATCATTGAATCTTTGAGATGTCTGACTTATTTTTCACACGTTCGGTATCGATTCAGTTGGCCCAGTTTGAGCGGTTTATATTTGTTTTCTTCAAATGTGGCCTGGCATGGCCAGGTGGTTAGGGTGCTCGACTCGCAATCTGAGGGTCGCAGGTTCGAAT